GCAAGTGAGGTCAAGACCTAGTACGGCTAGGGTTAAGGTGATTGTGGACTTGTTGGACAAGCTCCAAACCAAATTAAACTCCAAAGTGTTGACAAGAAATAGAAGAATTCCAAGAGGTGGTGTATGATAATTTGCCGTTGTATTGCACTCACTATAAGCACTATGGGCACAATGAGAATACATGTTGATTGCTTTTAAAAAATACAAATGGTGATGATCAGTTGGAAGAAGCTTCTGGACATAAATTTAATGGGGATTTAAGACAACTGTTGAACGAAACGAGAGACCTGAATGAGCGAGATAAAATAGCAGGAGATCAAAATAAAACGACTGGCAACAAAGATGATATATTAGTGGTGATGGAGAACCCTACTGCCACAAATATTAATACGCAGACAGTGGCGGAGCCAAAATTTTCGTTAAGGGGTGTTAAAATATATAAAAGTAAACATACCATGAAATTAAGGGGAGTCAATACATAATACATATAATATAATTTATTTATTTTACCTACCTACACAATATATTTTTCTCGCGAAGGGGTGTCAAATGAAACCTTTCCTATAAGGTGGCTCCGCTGTTGTACGCATGTTTTAAAAATGCCACATGCTACTGTTGAGCATGATGGGAAGTTGGTGCAACGCAATGAAGCTGTAGATGTTGTTTGTACAGGAGCAGATGTTAGTAGGACAATACTCATAGCAAATATAACTGGGATTAATGCAACAGTTCCAATGGAAAAAGCCTTGGTCAGCGTTTCACAATTGATCAAGAATCAATTAGTGCTAACTCTATGGCTGCTGCAAAATACTAATGATCAAGGGTAGGCTAAAATTGCAGTAGCGACAATGTCTCCAACTCCTACTGGGAATGGTGTTCCCTCAACTACATGTGTTATTCTTTCTATTGTAGCAAGGTTTCACAGGCTATGGAGTCGACTTTACGCTATAACTACTGTGGATGCAAATGGACTCAACAAAACAAATGTGGTGCAACAACAAGTTGGGATAGCTGGCTGATATATTGGATCAACAAGACAAAGAAAAATAACCTGGAGCTGAGATCATCGTGCAGACTAATCCTAGGGCTACTGGGATTTCGACTAGGCAAGATAGGCAATTTAAGAATGTATCTCCTAATTCTTTGACTAAGGCAGATGGAGTAACTAAGAACACAACTAGAGATACACAATGTAATGAACTTAATGGAAGTAAGGAAATAAACAGCAATAGCAGAAATCGAATGATTTTTTGGGGCAATTTTCTATTTATATTAATAAGAGAAAAACTATTACAATTTTGGATGAAAATTGACTACTCTCTAATTAGACTCCATGGCTGGAGATTCCCGAAGAAAAGAAGAGAAGAAGAAGGAAACTGTTAGGAAGAAGAAAGAGAGAGAGAGAAGAGAGAATGAGAAAGAAATCGAAGAGAGAGAGAAGGGAAATACCCTGATGAACGATGCCTTCCCCATTCTGTTGAAGTTGGTTATAACAACCCTTCAGCCGATGTAGCCAAATCGTAGCCCTTGGAGTTCATTAATGCCTAATCTAATCCTAGCCGTTCATTCAAATTTCTGTTACTCCCTTTCCCATTTTCTGTTATTGCCTACTCCCATTTGCCATTTCGAATCCCAATTGTTGCATCTTCTTAATAGGTCATGACATACTCCCCCCCCCCTTCGAACAATCCTTGTCCTCAAGGATTGGAATCAAATTCTAGAAACCTTGCCTTGAAGTAGTGATAATTTTCCCAAATGGCATTTTCTGGAGGGAGATTTGACCACTGCATCAATACCCTTACCACGGCAGAGTTGTTCCTCTTAATAAGCTGCCTCTGCAGAATTGCCACTGGTTTCACTAGGAACTTACCATCCTCGCCAGTAATTGGTAGTGTGGCCTGCACTACTACTCTATCTCCTACCTTCTTCTTGAGCAAAGATACATGAAACACAAGATTCAGGAGGAAGATCCAGTTTGTAAGCCACTTTGCCAATTCTTGCCAGGACCTTGTAGGGTCCATAGTGTAAGCACGTGATTTTTGACCCTCCCCGAGAATTTTCACATTTTTAGCGTGAATATGTGAAATTGGGTCCAACACGGTCATTTTAACTATTTTTACTTTATTTCGGCGCAAAAAGAAAATTTCAAAAAATATATATAAATTTTAGTTTATGTATCTCTCATAAACTTGAAAAATACAAAAATTGTACTTTATTTTGGTACTTTATATAAATTCGAAAATTACAAAAAATAATAATAAAGAATAAAATGAGACGAGCCTCGCCAAATAAAAGGGACAAATTACGGGGCCCTCACAAAAATATATGTATTAAATACTTAGATTCCGGGACGGGCCGTTAGCAAATTTCACGGTCCTACCCAAAAATAATAATGCGCTAGTTGCTTTAGGCGCGCCTTTAATAATGTTATCTCCCTAAACCCGGGTGCACATTTATGTGACCCAAATCCAAATCTCAACGGAGTCGAAATATGTCTCTAGTCACGGGCGCATTGATTGTGGCGTGGCCCGAGATGCGTTTCCATGACGTTACAAATTTTTTTAAAAAATAAGAATGAGATGAGCCTCGCCGAATAAAAATACAAATTGCGGGGCCCTCAGTAAATACTTGTTTAAAATTACTTAGAATTCAGGAGGGTCGTTTAGCGAATTTCACGGCCTCCGCAAAATAATAATGCGCTAGTTGCTTTAGGCGCACCTTTAATAATTTAATTTTCTTAAACTCGGGTGTGCATTTCATGCGACCCAAATCCAAATCCTAAAACATCAAATAAAATATGTTTCGGATTGTGGGTGCATTTCATGTGACACAGTCCAAGGATATATTTTAAGCGATGTTCACATTCTTATAAAAACAATAATAATAAAGCGGTTAAAAGATAAATTTGCACATAAGTTCATATTGTATTAAAAATCAGATAAATAAGCCAAATATAACAGTTGAGCGACCGTGCTAGAACCACGGAACTCGGGAATGCCTAACACCTTCTCCCGGGTTAACAGAATTCCTTATCTAGATTTCTGGTACGCAGACTGTAATATAGAGTCATTCTTTTCCTCGATTCGGGATTAAAATTGGTGACTTGGGACACCCTAAATCTCCCAAGTGGCGACTCTGAAATAAATAAATAAATCCCGTTTCGATTGTCCTTTAATTGGAAAAAAAAACCCCCTGCGCCCCGCGGGTGCGGAAAAAGGAGGTGTGACACATAGTACTTAGAGATCAACTTCAAGTTTCTTCTCAATGCTAGAGATGATTGTCTATAGGGTTGCAATTTCAAATAGACCAAATTCCCAACTTGAAACTCCCTCTCTGTTCTCCTTTTGTCAGCATAGTATTTCATCCTCTCTTGTGCTTTAGTGAGGTTTTCCTTTAATAGCTATTGCATCTGTTGTCTATGCATCATTGTATCGTCATCAGCTGGTACCACAATCTCCAATAAGGAGCCCAATGACAACTGTGGGGGTGAGTAACCGTATAGTGCTTCAAATGGGGTGCACTATAAGCTGGTGTGGAAATTGGTGTTATACCACCATTCTGCAGCAGTCAGCCATTGTTTCCACTGTGTTGGCCTATTAGCAGTTATACATATGAGATAGTTCTCCAGAAACCTATTGACCCTTTCAGTTTGGGCATCACTGAGGGTGATAGGCAGTGTGTAACGAAGCTGAGTCCCTAGGAGTTTAAATAAGGCTGTCCAAAAGTGGCTTAGGAAACCTTGTCTTTGTCTATCACTATAGACTCTGGAATACCATGTAAGCAATGTATTTTCTTCCAAAACACCTCAGCTAGCTACAAATACTGCTGTGTAAGGGTGAGTAAGTGCTATAAAGTGTGCATACTTTGTCAATTTATCAACCACTACAAAGATCACTTCTTTGTTCTTGGATTTGGGCAACCTTCTATGAAGTACATACTGATGTGGCTCCAAGCCCGGTTAGGGATGGGTAGGGGCTGCAACAACCCAGGGTTGGCCATGTGATCATCTTTATTTTTGAGGCAAATATCACAACTAGCTACATGATCAATAACCATCTGTTTCATCCCAGGCCAATAAAATATTTGTGATAGTCTTTTGAGAGTTCCAAGCTGCCCTGAGTATCCATCTATAGGAGATCATGAAATATGGATGTCAACTGAGTTCTGAGCCCACCACTGGTATCAATATAAATTTTCCCTTTCTTTCTGAGTATGATGGCAGTGTAGTGCCATATGTTGGGTCCTTGTTAAGTCACAACCATTTGGCTAATGATTTCTGTAGCTTTATGGCCCCCTTCATAGCTGTGTGTTATTTCTTGCACCCATGTAGGAACTGATATACTGATGGCCTGCAATATACTGTAAATAATGTCTCCACTTTTCCACTACATTCAGCAGAGCCATATACTCCTTTTCATAGATGGATTTACCTCTGTGTCTTGGAGCCAAGACCTTGCTAAAGTAAGATATTGGTCTACCTTCTTGCATTAGTACAACCCCAATGCCCATTTGGCTAGCATTAGTCTCTACTATGAACTACTTGTTGTAGTCAGGTAATGCCAGCACAGGTGTAGAAATCATAGCCTTCTTCAATTATTCAAAGGCTAAGTCTGCTTCCTCATTCCACTTAAAGGCTTCCTTTTTAATAAGTCAGTCAAGGGTCTACAAATGATGCCATAGTTGGCAACATACTTCCTATAATACCCAGTCAATCCCAAGAATCCCCTCAAAGCTCTTATGGAGTTGGGCTTAGGCCACTCAACCATGGCCTTTATTTTAGAGGGATCAATTGAGACTCCTTCTACAGTTATAATATGCCCCAAATATTCAACTTTGGACTGACCAAAAGAACACTTAGACCTTTTAGCAAATAAGGAGTGTTTCCTTAGAGTATCAAAAATTGCACGTAAATGAGTTACATGCTCCCTCTCTGATAAGCTGTATATAAGTATGTCATCAAATAAAACTAACACAAATTTTCGAAGGAAAGGTTGAAAAACCTAGTTCATCAAGGCTTGGAAGGTGGCTGGGGCATTTGTTAGCCCAAATGGCATCACCTTGAACTCATAGTGGCCCATGTGAGTTTTGAATGTTGTCTTGTACACATCCTCCACCTTCATTCTAATATGATGGTAACCAGCCCTCAAATCTACTTTGGAAAACATCACAGACCCACTCAACTCATCTAATAGATCATCCACAATGGGTATTGGGTATTTATCCTTTATTGTAATGTCATTCAGTCCCCTATAGTCCACACAGAACCTCCAAGTCCCATCTTTCTTCTTGACAAGTAAGGCTGGAGAAGAGAAGGGTGATTGGCTATGTTGTATGATGCCATTAGTGAGAATCTCTTTGACATGTCTTTCTAATTCCTCCTTCTCGTAATAGTTGTATCTATAGGGCCTCAAACTAACTGACATAGCCCCAGGTTTCAAGGGTATGGTGTGGTCTAAGGTCCTGACAGGAGGCAAGGCCTTAGGCTCAGAAAATACATCTGAGTATTGTTACAGTACCTCCTCAATAGCCTCTCCAATTGGGTCTTGCTCTTCTACCTTTACATCACTCATCATGAACATGTGAGCTATTAGAGCCTGACCTTTCCTTAGAATTTTACCCATTGTTCCACTGGTGATCATATTCAACTTCCCTTCCTCAGTAATGCCCTGCAATACTAGCTTGTTTCCCTTATTACCAATGGTAACACACATCTTCTCATGGTCGAATTTGGTTGGATTATGCTTCTTCATCCAATCATTTCCCATCACCATGTCACAACCCCCAAGTGGAATAATCAGTAAGTTCTCTTGGAAGGGTCTACCTTCCATTTTCCATTGATAGCTCGTGCAAATCGAAGTGCACATAACATAGTTTTCATCAGCTACTGTCACTCTCATTAGTGGGCAGGGTTGGGCTTGGTACCCCGACTCCTTAACTGTGGTGGCATCAATGAAACTATGAGTACTCCTAGAATCAATTAGCATTGTTAGTTTCCTGTTCCCTATGGTACCTCGCACCAGTATGGTATTGACTCCTTTGTTATCACCTGATAGGGCATTCAAACATACTGCCTCTATGATCTCTTGTTCCACTTCTCCTTCAATGATCAACCCTGCACAGCTTTGTTCTTCCTCTATCTCACCAGTTTCAGTAGGAACCTCTGTTGTCCTTATCATGCTATTCAGTTGCTTCTTCTTGTATTGATGGCCTTGATTATACTTCTCACCACATTTGTAACACAAATGGTTACTCTTCCTATACTCATATACCTCAGGATTAAGCCTGAATGAATTTGGCTTAACTGCAGTTGCAGTAGGTGCTTTGGTACTACTAGGATTGCCAGTTATTAGAGAGGTTTTGGTTACTACTTTAGTACGTTTGAGAGCAGCTTCTATGGCCTTCTCCTGCAACCTAGTTTGTTCCATAGCAAATCGTAGAGTTGTAGGTTTGAATAGCTTCACCCCAAACCTAATCTCTTTCTTCAGAGCCCCAATGAAACTGGATATGAAGTGTGACTCATCCAAGTTAAGATTCCTTATCAGCATTTGAGCCTTCAACTCCTCAAACTTACCTAGAAATTCATCCACTGTCCTAGTTTGGCTTAACTTGTTGAATTCCTCTACTATGTCTCCCATTAATTCCTCCCCAAATCGAATCAGCAATTCTTCTTTGAATTCAGTCCAGCTTACTTCACCTTTACTTAGTACTAAGGAGTCGTACCAAATATCTGCCAATCCATTCAAATAGAGAGCAGTTACTTCCACCTTCAAGTTATCTGGAGTTCTATACAAATTGAAGTACCTCTCACACTTCCTAATCCACCCTTTAGGCTCATGACCTTCAAAGTAAGGTAGCTCCCACTTAGGCGCAGGAGCTTGTACTGTTGGAGGTCGATGCTGCCTTATTTCCTGACCTAGTATAGGCAGTAGACCATCACCTTGAGTTCTCTCCCCATGTGCTCTTTGTGGAACCCTTTCCAGATTAGTCAGTCGCTCTAGGATCAGTTCCAGTGTGCCCTGTATTCCATTTTGAGTACTGCAAAGTTCCTCTTGAGTGGTCATAACTTCATTCAAAACCTCCTCGTGTCTAACTAGTTTATCATCCATAACATTCAGCCTAGTTCCTTCAACTATCACCTCCTTCACAGTCACAGAATCGAGGCTCTGATACCAATTGTAATGAACTCAATGGAAGTAAGAAAATAAACAACAATAGTAGAAATCGAATGATCTTTTGGGGCAATTTTCTGTTTATATTAATAAGAGAAAAATGATTACAATTCTGGATGAAAATTAACTACTCTCTAACTAGACTCCGTGGCTGTAGATTCCTGAAGAAGAGAAGAGAAGAAGTAGGAAACTGTTAGGAAGAAGAAAGGGAGAGAGAAGATAGAAGGAGAAAGAAATCGAAAAGAGAGAGAGAAGAGAAATAACCTGATGAACGATGCCTTCTATATTCTGTTGAAGTTGGTTATAACAACCCTTCAGTTGACGTGGCCAAATTGTAGCCCTTGGAGTTCATTAATGCCTAATCTAATCCTAGTCGTTCATTTAAATTTCTATTGCTCCCTTTCCTATTTTCTGTTATTGCCTACTCCCATTTGCCATTTCGAATCCCAGTTGCTTCTTCTTCTTAATAAGTCATGACACACAAGCAGCTGTTGAACCTAAATGTGTTAAACTTGTTTTGTAACTGAAAATTCCAGCAGTAATGGGGAAACTACTGGGTATGTTGATGGATCAAGGGATTTTACGTCTAAGCTCGATGGAACAACAAGGAAATCAACTGGGCAAGATTGGACAGTGGTGGTTCAATCTCCTGCCAGGCAAAATACATCTCCAAGGCTGAAAAAACAGCAGCAAACAGTAAGTTTTCCAGGTGGTCGAATTAATGTCTCAAAAGAATTTTGCTCAAATTCATTTGATGCGCTATTGAAATCTGCTGCAAATCAACATGTGACTGCTCCAATAATACATATATCCAATCTAAAGTTGACTATAATAATAAAAGAATCTCAGGCTGCTATGATGATGAATGTCAACCCCATGATCAAACAACCTTTGGTCACTTTGAATACCTCTGTACAAGAAGTTCCCTCCCAAAATTTAGAATCGTTTGGTGATCATAGTAGTGGTTCTGGGTGGCCTCTATTATCAACAGGGAATGAGAATGATGTTGTCAAGGAGAGAAATCAATTTTTGATGGAGGTGAGCAATGGAAAAGCTGATCAACATGAGGGTTATGTAGGTGATCGAATTTTGACCAAGCTCAAAACTTGGGCTGACCAAGTCTAGGATGATGATCTCAGTACCTTTATGATCATGAAGAATGTGAAGATGAGTCCTTACGCTCAGTTGGATCACCATCAATTCCAAGTAACAGAAGTTCTCTGTTCCATGCACATAAGAGCAAGCTCAACTCAAAAACTCCAATATTTGTTCCAAGAAATTCTCCAGATGTTGCTGCAAGTTTGAGTGATCGACCTACTCATTCTTCATCAAGTAAGTTTGTGCACATTTCAGTCCAAGAAAGGGTACTATTGGATGCTTTGGAGTACCACATACACTTGCACATTCGGCTGGTCCAAAAGTGAGTGCACAAGAGCTGCAAATTTCAGGTAAGTCTCTCAATAAAAATGCTCAATTCCAAGCCACAATAATTAAAACTATTGGCATAGTTGCAAAGAGGCATGAACCTGGTGGATTGGTTGAACAAGAACTTGCGAACAAGAACAAGAAAGAGGGGCAAGACTCTAATTTTTACCATATTTTATTCTCATTTTTTTGAGCATTATCATATATAATATCATCATAGAGTGTATTATAAACTCTGTGATGATCATAAAATACTTAGTTCTTTCTAGTTCCTATTTCTTACATGCTTGTTAGTAGATGAGGTTATTTATGCCTCCATAGAAATTGTAAGATAAGGTCTAGCTCAGTAGGTGTGGTTACCTTCCCCATTTGCCTTTGGGATATAACCCAAGAGGCTATGAGATCTTTTCCCTCGTGAGACATTGCCATCACGAGGCACCAGAGGTACTAGGTTTGGTCACCTTGCCAAGGCAAAGGATACCACACTACTATTTGCTTACTTGTACTTTTTCTTATTATGATTTTCTTTTATTCTTAATAAAACTAGCCCTAGACACCTTGCCTACTGGATTTGCTAAAAAAAAGTGATTTTAAAGTAGGTTTGAGTTAAATTTTAGATGTTGATTTTTCGAGTTTTGTTAGTTTTTTGAATTGGGTGTTGTTCCGTTAAATTGAAAACATCAAGATGAGTTCAAAACTTAAATCGGAAGTGATTTGGAGTAGATTTGAACTAAGTTTGAGTTAAATTTCAGAAGAGAATCAAGGAAGAAGACGAAGTCAGTTTTTGTATAATAATATATAATACTGTAGAACGATGTATATAGGTGTATAAATACCTCCTATACACTATTATACCCTTTTATAACTCTTATACAAGCGTCTGTAGACAATTATTTTTCACGATTTTCAGTTATAATTTTTGTTCAAAACCAGTCCAAATCTCTATTAAATGACTTCAAATTTTGTATACAACCTTCTTATACCATTTCAAATTTCTCACAACATCAGATTCGAATTTTTAAACCCACTTATTTAAACTTATTCAACAATATCACCTTACAAATCTGATTTTCACCACCCAAATGGATTTAGTCTGTTAAACTAAGTTGAGTCACAATTACTGATTCAAATATTGGATTAGAAGAATGAGCATTTTTTTAAAGTTGAATAGCGATTTCGAGAAACATTTGGAGTTGTATGTTAAATTTTAGCTTATTATTTGTGGTCTACAACTTTGTAAAGTTAAATATAGACCACCTAATTGCAATGTATGTGTGTGGGTTATATTTATGTGTAATTCTCTTGTTTAAATTCGTCCTATAAGAATGAGAAACTTAAGGTGCTTTTTAATTAATTTTGGATTATTAGTTTTAAGGGTAGATTTGAACCAAAAATTAATCGTAGGGGCAAATCGAATGGTTCAAGGGTAGTTTTGGCCCTTCCGTTAAAATAAAGAAGATTCAAACAAACATCATACCTAATATAGGTGTATTTATATGATTAGGCCTTAATTGTAACTAGGATCTTTTACTTTCATGTTAGCTAGATCGATATGGGATTTCAAAATTATACGTATTTTAAGAAAACTTTCTAAATTTGTTATATTTTTAATAAATAAATTAAAGTTGATATGATCAATTTTAATATTAATTAATATTAAAAGATGAAATCCTTGTAGCGTAAAAATAACTAAACAATCAATTAAAGCAAAAATAAAAATAAACTGACGTTAAAAAAAGAAAAGAACAGCTAGCTATATTTGGAGAGAACATAAAAATTTTCCAAAAATGGCTAATCGACACACGTAGTCTAGAATCTAATCAACTGGAGTAAAAAATAAAAAGGCCACCGTAACTAACGCTTGCCACCCTCACCTCAGCCGTGTCGTGACGGCGGCGACTTTTCATCTTAGCAATAATCGGAGAGTCACATACTTCTTATCTTCTTCAACTCCTGAGCTAGGCTCTCATCTTATAATAAGATAGTTAGTAATACAAAAATGCAGGGGAGTATTTGTTCGAGGTGTTTTAGTAGGGCTGGGGAATTCTTGCTCCAGAAAGCAGAAACCATGATTTTGAATTACATCCCTTCTCGCCTTTCTTTACATTCACAAGCCCTAAAACCCAGAAATTATCTCCATCATCAGTATCGCATCAGTACAAGACATCTTTCAACTAATAGAAACCTGTGGGATTCTTCTAGAACATCTTCTACTGGCTTCAGACAAATCAAGGCTTTCGTTTCTGATTTCCCTGCCAAAAACCCTAATGGCCCTGTAAGCTTTACTTTTAGTTTTAACTGTGGTGTCTTTTTTCGTTGTTTGTGTTGATCGTTGACTATTTTTTGGGGGTTAAAAGGATGGGATGCCAAATGGGCATGCTATGTTTTCAACATCTTCAAGTGATGGCAAAAAGCCTGTAGTGAAGAAAGATGAAACTGGGATTGCGGCAAAAAGTGATCAAATATCTGATGCGAAAATTATTAGCACTCTGGCGAAATATTTGTGGATGAAGGATAATTATGAGTTCCGCTTCCGGGTCATTGCTGCCTTGACTTTACTTGTTGGTGCAAAGGTGAGAGGGCAGTCTTTTTTCTTCTAGTCGTGTTTTTCATTTGTTTATTTAGAAAGGGCATCATAGCTAAAAAATGTGTGTTATATGCAAAGGTGGATTTTGATTAAATGCACAGTGGTGACTTTTGTGCATTTTCATGCCACAGGTTGTGAATGTTCAAGTGCCATTCTTGTTTAAGCTTGCTGTTGATTGGTTGACAACAGCAACTGGCAATGCTAACGCTCTTGCTGAGTTTACTACTGCCAATTCTACTGCTTTAGCTCTTTTTGTTAGTCCTGCCGCGGTTTTGATTGGATATGGTATTGCACGATCAGGGGCATCTGCTTTCAACGGTACATCACACCTATGAAGTAATTGCTTGTGCTTGTCTTGAGTATCAGAGTTACTAGATTTTTGTTCTTTCTTTTCGGTATAAGATATCCTTTTTCACTCATAAATGGATGATAGACATTTATTTCCTTTTCCTCATCAGCAAGTCCTTCACTTTTTTGCTCTCTATTTATTTTTCTAAATGCCTTTATCATTCTTTTGTTGTTGCAGAATTGCGAACTGCAATTTTCTCAAAGGTGGCGCTCCGCACTATCCGGTCTGTTTCACGGAAGGTACAGAGCAGAGTTTGTTTTGCCAGCTTTTTTTCCTATGGGTCTTTTAGATTAGTCATCAATGATAGGAACCACATCATTTCTAGATTTTCTTGGGTAATTCACGCTCGTGTAAGAGAATTCCGAAGGAATGGAGGGTAAATTCATGGGGTTATTGACCCAAGATTCAAACTAAATGTAGATGATGTGCTTATTGGAAGATGGAGTCTACACTATTATCTTGGACAGATGTGTGAGATACTAAGGTGCTTGCACTGCATTGTCTGTGTCTACAATGGGCTCTATCAATGAACTGCTATCACAATAATATCTCACACATTTGTCCAAAGTTGAGCTCTTTTGTTCTCAATGAAAGGTGAATCTTGGTCTATGTCACTGTCTGTTAGAGACCGTTCGTATTGGATGTTTGTGTAAAAAATGCAGTTAAGTATCCATTGCTTGCTGGACACAACTGCTTTGAAAAAAATTCTGAATATGTCCAAGTTCCTTGTACAAACTCCAGATTACGTTTAATTACTATATTAAAAGGATGGTGTCTCCTTTGGTGAATCACCATCTAGTATGTTCAGCTAAATATTATGCTCACTTTCCATCTGACATCAGTCAATGTTGAGAGTTCACATTTTCAGTTGTCTTTGTGCTTTGCATGTGTTTTGATTAATTCACATTTTGACTGAACTTAATTCTTCCATTTTAATATGCCGACGATAACAAGCCCTAATGTATGCAGGTCTTTTCGCATTTGCATGAACTTGACCTGCAATATCACCTTAGGTATTTCTTGAAACACCCTTTTAAACCTGTTGATTATGCATATTCTATTCTCTTGCAAGCAGTTAATTATGTGACTTTATTAGTGCATTGCCTCAGATGTAGCATTTGCCAGACCTTTCTTCTCTCCCCCATTCTCCTTTAAATCCCCCATTCTCTCATGTGACTCGTCTTTAAGATAGGAGGAATAGCTGAATTATTGGATCTAAAAAATGATTAGAAGCTACAATACAACATCTCTCTTGTCTTTGGAAGAAAGATACGCTCATCTCTGCCTTTACGTGCTGCAAAAAGTTAAGATCAGTCTGTACTGTTTATGTCTACACTTCGACACTATCTTTTAAAAGTGGAAATAATCATGTAGTTCTTTTTTTCTGTGTGGTATATTGTGCAGCTGCAGGAAACCAGGAACCCAGTTACTTGGAATATTAATAGGACAATTAAGAATACAACAACTAAGCCAAATGAGTTGTGGTCATGTTCCCCATTTAAATTGATCTCAGGTCAAATATTATAGAAACAAAAATAAAAATGGAAATATAAGAAGTTCTCTAAATTTCCTACTAGCATAAGAGTATCTAATAAGGCTAATTGGATAACTAAGCATACTAAAGCCAATTCCTGTGCACTTAATACAAGATTTAACGATCTATTGTAGAATTTATGGTGCCAACAATGGGATATTAGGCCTCAAGCTGCGCCGGTTCCCGTATCACATTGTAGCTTCAAAGACACCAAAAAGTTCAACAAAAGGAGAAGCGAATATATCATGAGATAAATGTAATTTGCCGTCCAACCAGCAGTGGGAACAATGTATTCCAAGGCTATGCTAAAAAAGCTCATTCTTATAATGACTTACACTCTAAGTTGCTCGGACTCTTCACTTTCGGTGGCACACCCGTGTCGACACGATGTGGTTGTGGGATCTGTACTGGATTTGGTCAACCGCTTTTGAGTACTTTGATAAAAAATCGACGGAGAAATTTAGGACATATACAATGATTTCTGGAATCAAAACAAAGCTAGAGTGAAGTTGAAAATAGAATACCTTGTGTACAGAAATTTCTACGTCAGTCCATTTCCTTGTATCTCTTCTCGAATTCTCCTCTTTATCAATATCTTCTCGGAATAGTTTGTAAGTTTTCCGCATGATGTCTCATAATTTAGACGTATTTTTATTACTTTATTTGTAGACATTTGAATTATTTTTACCCGAATGCTCGCACCCTTACCCACACCAGTTTAGATCATGAAGGATCTGACCTCTAGATCCGCACCCTTATAGGACGCCCACACCTGAGTCGGAGTAACTTAGCTTACAGTAAGCACCTACATCCTTGAAAATGCCTACCTTCAGGAGAAGATTATCGAATAAGTTTCAAATCTACCCTCTTCGCTTCCCAAGATATTTAGGGAAAGGGTCCTTGTCGGCCGCCAATTGCTGATGATGGAACGCATTTTCAATTAAAGGGTCCTCGCCTTGGATTTAGTTGGAAAGGTAGTGTTCAGCATGTCCCTTGCTTGCGAACTAATTGAACTTTGTTCAAGATCAAACTCTGCGTGGATAAACTAATTCAGTTAGCCTTATTAGTCTCAATAATGTGTTTCCTTCGAACACTGAGTTAAATAAGCCATACCCATTTGATTATTTATCCTGTGGACTTGGTTCTGTTCAATTCTATGTCAGGCTTCCTCTGTTTGTGGCTTTGTTATATATCGATTTTTCCTGATGCAAAGGATGCAGGTGAATGGGTACCACATGTCACCCAAATAAGATGCTTATGGCTGAGATTGTTTATACTTTCTTTTGATGTTATTCTAGTTAAAATTTTATGCCATCAGCTGTGATGTTGAGAAGGTGGTTTGCTTGAGTGTGATAGAGTTGTTTTTATGTTCTTCTTGCATCCTGCAGTCGAGAAACGGGTGGTCTTAATCGGATTATTGACCGTGGTAGCCGAGCTATCAATTTTATTCTTTCATCCATGGTATTCAATGTTTTCCCAACAATATTAGAGGTATATAAATTTATTCATTCCATCATTCAAGGCAGTTTTTTGTTTGATGAAAAAAGTCCTACTTAGTTATGTTGCTTTTAAGTATTACTCCAACTACATTAACATGAACCCTTTCAGATATCCATGGTATCAGGTATACTTGCATACAAGTTTGGAGCACCCTTTGCATGGATCACTTCACTGTCAGTGGCTGCATATATTGCCTTCACCTTGAGTATTACCCAGGTTATTATCTACTTACTGAAACCCATCTATTCTTTGTCTTGGCATTGTCTGTTATTTTGGGTTTCATGCCGTTCTTCCTCTTTGAGTTGTTCATTTGTCATACTGGCAGTGGCAGCTAGGTGATAGCTGATATATCAGTAACTTCTAGTGAGTCCAGCTCTCAAGTCTTTTGTTTCAAAGTTCCTCTTCATTTGTATCTTGCAGTGGCGAACTAAATTTAGGAAGGAGATGAATAAAGCTGATAATGATGCAAGCACAAGAGCAATAGATTCTCTTATCAATTATGAGGTAAGCTTGTGTTCCTTTATACCAAGATTAGCTTATCTGTTTATGTGCAATACACTTGATTGTGCTGGCCCTTATCATTTTTTTCCAGACTGTTAAGTACTTCAACAATGAGGTCTATGAAGCTGAGAAGTATGATCACTTCTTAAAGAGTAAGTCGTATTGCCTTATGACTTTTCTTTCGTCATTTCTTAAGCTCTTCCGCGCTCTTAATTTATGGTGTAAGTTGTGTATACGTTGGGTGAATCAGATTGCACCAACTGTGATATCATTTAACACAGTTTTGTTGGCAATTAGTACAACAACAACAACAACAATACAAACCTAGTGTAATTCCACGAGTGGGGTCTGGGGAGGGTAGTGTTTACGCAGACCTTACCCCTACCTTGTGAAGGTAGATAGGTTGTTTCCGATAGACCCTCGACTTAAGATAGTGAAGAAGCAACCAACAATAACAACAAGGAAAAAAAAAAAAAAAAAAAAAAAAAAACCGAAGACACTACGTGTAATAACAAAGATCTAAAAATAAGAAATACAAGAATACTACTAGCAATACTGGTAAGAATGACACAACATGGTTTGTTGGCGATTAGTCTAAAGGTAAATTTCAGGAGAAATCATTGAATTTTAGAATGATTAGAGTTTCATGATAAAGAAAAACAGAAATCATTGTGCTTTATTAAGTTTCACAGAGTGGCGGTACCATGTTTATATGGCTTCCCTTCAACATAACATGTGTTTGCTTCACCTTATCAGAAAAAGAAAAATATGGGTTCACTTCACTGTCAACTTTGCTCTGGGATCTAGCAATGAGGAGGCAGAAGAATATGTGCTTTCTCCCAGTGGTTAAAAACTTTTTGTCGGCTTTTGACGTACAAAACTTTGATGTTGTGTTGTTCCTCCCCATTTTCTTTTTTCTGAATAAGCAATCATGATATTATGTGGTTGTCTCCAGGATATGAAGATGCTGCCTTAAAGACCCAACGCAGTTTGGCTATGTTAAACTTTGGGCAAAATGCAATATTCAGCATAGCTCTCTCAGCTGCTATGGTTTTATGTTCTAATGGGATTATGAATGGCGTCATGACCGTTGGTGACTTGGTAGAACTTTTTCTCCAATTATTTTAGCTGAGTGATTATTTTCTCTGCAGTGCACTCTAATAAGAAACATTACTATTTTGATAGGTCATGGTAAATGGGCTGCTGTTCCAGCTATCCCTTCCGCTGAATTTCCTTGGTAGCGTATATCGTGAAACTGTCCAAAGTCTAGTGGACATGAAATCAATGTTTCAGTTGCTAGAGGTATCAGCTAGCTTCCATGATATCATTCATTGTTTTGTTTCACTTGCTAAATACTTTTGTGTTGTGTAAAAGATTATAGAGGAAACAGTTAGTCAAGTAACATCAAACTTTGTAGCGGAAAGATAATCTGCAAATGTTGTAAGATTTGTGGTCCAGATGATGCCTCTAAAATGTTGTGCTCTTGCTTCCTAAGTTCATAATGAGATATTGTACCTCATGAGAAATTGTGCGTCTGGGGGTCAGGCTTCTTTATATCGGCAGGTTAAGAGAATTGGACATACAAACACCATAATTTTCTATACCCAGTCAGGATAGGATCTGAATGATGATAAAGTTGGCTCTTTTCTGGAGTAATATCTTCTTGGTCCTTCTTGTATTTTGTGTACCAACCGCTATCTTCTTTTCTATTTCGTCCAGTCTTGCTGTGATAAATCCTGTCTCTCTTGTGTTTCTTTCCTGGCTGACTGATAATATTCTTCTCGAACTTGAGTAGCTCGAAATGTTGAAAGAGCATGATCTCTCGAGGCCTAGCATAATTTCATCACTTTCAGAATAAAATGGAAGTTGCTATAAAATGAAGTTATCTTTTTTCTTTAATTAAGTTGCATAACTACTGATCGAAATGATAAATGTTCTGAGGGGATCAGTATGTTCTGAATTATCAGATGGTCAACAAGGATTGGTACACTAATGCCCTTCTTTTGCGTTGATCATTATCTTGTTCAGTATTCTTTTTGATAAATCAAGAGAAGCTCCATTAATGCGCACCAAGATGGTGCCAAAGTCTCCTTGGATACAATTGTTAAATGTTTAGTCTCCAAATATCTATATCCACATATCTCTTTATCCGTTGCACTGTTAGTATCACGCTGATAGTAGACCTTGATGATACAGAAGTGTTGATTTGGCCCCAAACACATTTACTCCTGCCATGGCACATCCTTGCAAAACTGAACCATCATTTCATAAGCATTGAAAAGAATGACCACCAGAAATACATCAGACACTCATGGAGGAACCATTTTTTCTGCTATAGCATTTATTCATTTATGTGATAGTAATACATTGCGCACATATTCTATATGTCTTGTGCATATGTAGAATTGTTTTGAGCAAATCTTTGAATAATATGTACAGGAAAGGGCTCAAATCAGAGATGCAAACGATGCGAAACCTCTTAAGTTAAGTGGGGGTAGCATTCAATTTGAGAATGTTCACTTCAGGTGCATATCAAATTCTTTCTTCTTTTGTTATTTGCTAAATGATATATGGATTATTCGATTGGTTGTACTTTTCCTTAAGCGTTGTTTTCACTCAATCATCAGTTTGTGCACTTTCTATATATATATTTAGATAGGTAGACAAACATTATCAAACATTCTGGTGTGATGATCTCTGATGTACTGTGAGAAGGTGTACTCTGTTTAAGAAAATTATATATTTAACCCCTGGAGATGTATATTTAGAACTAAGCTTCAGTGTTAGACTGGTGACTTAGTTGAATTTTATCAATTTGGGCCTGCAATGAAATTGTCACATGTTGCCCAAGGGCTTAGTTCAAGTGGCAAAGGTTGAAGGACTTGTGATTCGAACCCTACGTCATGCGAACTAATTCTAGTATATAAGTGGAGAAGGGTAGAGGGGCGGCCCATTGTCCCCGAGTTGCAAAGGCTGTGGTTGTTCCTAAGGGTTTGCCCAATGGATTTCTCGGTCATTAAAAGAAAAAAGATGTTGTCACATGTTAGCTTAGCACTCTTGCTTGTCGGTTATTGCAGTTTGCGTTTGTGGCTACTTGTGATTGGACTTATTCTTACTCATCTTATTTATGATATAGTTCGTCTGATGTTTGCTTGTTGTTCTCTTAGGAAACAAGTGCTTTTGACAGTATCATACGCCTTATTTTTTGGGGTAAAGAGCAGTATCATACACCTCATATCAACATCATGTTGATTAAGCCAACTTATCTAACATCCCCACTAATTTTATGTCTCTGTTTTGCATGCCTAGAGCCATTTCGGTTAGACAAGAGTAGATGCCAAGGGATTTCTTGTTGGAAGAAAGGAGGGGGAATAGAAATTCTATTTGGTAGATTGGAAGAGAATTGCATTTCTGTTGACAGAAGGGAGCTTACGGATACGGTGTATTTCTCTTTTTGACAAGGTAATAATCTTATTGATATAGTGGGGTAAGTCGATACAAGTGGTAGAGAATCTATACAAATATCAAGTTCTGTATAAAGAAACCCGTTCATCTATACTGACTGGCATCTCGTGGGTGCTCCAAAAGTGTAAAAGAAACAAAAACTTGTTCTTATTTGTACAAAGGTATTTTTGGCTCCCTCAAAAGCTCTCCTGTTACTCTCTCGAAGTGAGTGGTGCTATATTCTGTGCCCGCGATTTTCTTTTCCTACATCTGAATGCCCAACTGAACATGACATCCTTAACCATAGCTGAAGTGCTGACATCACCACTGCTTCCACCATGGCTTATTCACTACTTGGCTGTGCACCAACAGGTGATTTGCATGCTCTCCCATCAACTTGTACATGTAACACCAATAGAGAATTTCTACCTTTTAATGTAAACTTGAAGAAAATGGTTGTGGAGATTCCCCCATGTGGAAAATGTTATATAGTAAGGTAATGATTGCCAAATATAGCATGGTTAATAATGGCTGGTTCTCGAGTGAAACACGGAGTGCGTAGGGTAAGTGTATGGATGGGGATTATTAAAGGCAGAAATATGTTAGTGGAGCATGTTGGGTTTGTGGTGGTAATAGCACAAGAATTTGCTTTGGGAAGGAATTTTGGTGCAGGAATACTAGTCCAGAGTAGACCTGCCCATAGGCTTATAAGTTGGCAAATAATGAGGCCATGCTGGTGGATTGTTTGGAAGAGGATCTGGGAGTTGCATGAAATATTAAGTGCTAGAAGTAGGACAAGATGTAATGGAGGGTATAGGGATGAAAATTGTTTTGCTTAAAATCATGCTACCGGGAGTTAATGGAGGAAGCAGAGAAGGAAGAGACGTCATAAAAGATGTTGGCAGTAAAACACCAGAAAAGAGTACAACAAGTAAAACACCAGAAAAGAGTACATCAACAATAGCAAACCCAGTGTAACCCCACAAGTGGAGTCTGGGGAGGGTAGTATGTAACTAGACCTTGCCCCTACCTTCAAGAAGGCAAAGAGGCTGTTTCGGAAAGACCCTTGGCTTAAGAAAGATAAAAGGAAGGGCAGCAACAAGCACACTAATTAGAAAACCGAAGCAAAAATACAAAACGAAAACTGAGTATTATAATCAGAAGGCTGAAACAAAAGCAACGACAAATAATCACAGAAATCAAGGAATACGAAAATACATAAATAGTGCTAACTCATGTACTAAAGCTACTGTTATAGACAAAGACAACGCTAGGCGACCTATCCTAACCCTTTACCGTTATTCCCAACCTCCACACCTTCTTGTCCATGGTCATGTAGGAGCAACGCCATATCTTACCTAATCACCTCTCCCCAATACTTCTTCGCCCAACATCTACCTCTCATTAGGCCCTCCAAGGCCAACCTCTCACACCTCCTCACCGGTGCTTCTGTGCCTCTCCCCTTCACATTGCTTGAACCATCTAAGTCTCACCTCCCGCATCTTGTCCTCCGCAGGGGCCCCACACACCTTGTCCCGAATAATTTAATTTCTTATTCTATCTAGCCTGGTATGCGCGCACATCCATCTCAACATACTCATTTCAGCCACCTTCATTTTTTGGACATAGAAGTTCTTGACTGGCCAATTTAATATAGTCGGTTTGACCACCATTATATAAAACTTACATTTTAGTTTAGGTGGCACATTTTTATCACACAAAACACCTGAAACGAGCCTCCATTTCATCCCTCCCACCCTAATACGATGTGTAACATCCTTGTCGATCTCTCCATTCCTTGTATAACTGACCCAAGGTATTTAAAACTCTCTCTCCTAGGATGACTTGAGAACCAAGCCTCACTTCTTTGACCACAACCTGAGTCGTCCCACTGAACTTGCCCTCCAAGTATTCTGTCTTGGTCCTGCTCAACTTGAAACCTTTAGACTCCAGGGTCTGCCTCCGAATCTCTAACCCCCCGTTAACACCGCCTCGCGTCTCGTCAATTAGAACAATGTCATCTGCAAATAACATGCACCGCGACACCTCTCCTTGTATGTGGCACGTCAGCGCGTCGATCGCCAAGGCAAAGAGAAATGGACTGATGGCAGACCCCTGATGGCAGACCCCTAATGCAACTGGGAAGTGTTCTGAGTCCCCTCCCACGGTCTTCACTCGAGTTGTAGTTCCATCATGCATGTCCTTAAATAACCCTAATGTAAGCAATATGAACACCTCTAGCCTCCAAACATCTCCACAGAACTTCCCTTGGCACTTTATCGTAAGCCTTCTCTAAATCGATGAACACCATATGTAAATCCCTCTTCCCCTCTCTATACTGCTCCATCAACCTCCTTACAAGATGAATAACTTCCGTAGTCGAATGTCTTGGCATAAATCCAAACTGGTTTTCAGAAATATCCACAATCCTCCTCAACCTCAGATCCACCACCCTCTCCCAGACTTTCATAGCTTAGTAACTTGATGCCTCGGTAGTTGTTGCAACTTTGGATATCACCCTTGTTCTTATACAGCGGACCATCGTACTCTATCTCCATTCTTCAGGCATCTTTTTTGTCCTAAAAATGACATTAAATAACTTAGTGAGCCACTCCAAGCCCGCCTTACCCCATGCTCTTCCAAAATTCCACCGGGATCTCGTTAGGGCCGGTCGCTCTCCCCTTGCTCATCTTACGCATAGCCCCCTCGACCTCCTTGGCTCTTAGATGCCTACAATATCCAAAGTCCCGACGACACTCAGAGTGTTCTAAATTGCCTAGCTCAATGTTCCTATCCCCCTTTTCGTTCAAGAGTTTATGGAAGTAAGTCTGCTATCTACGTCGAATAAGTGCCTCATCCAACAAAACTCTGTCGCCTCGTCCTTGATGCACTTCACTTGGTCCAGGTCACAGACCTTCCTTTCTTGCACCTTGGCTAACCCAGTGTTGTGAAAAGCGGTCGCTTCCTCGCTTAAAGCGAGAAGCGAAGCAAGGTGACCCTATGACCGCTTCTGCTATATGAAGTGACTCAGGTAGGGAAAAGCGTGCGCTTCGCACTAAAAAGCGAGAAGCGACGAAGCAAAGCGAGGTGACCGAAGCGAGCGCTTCTCTGTTTTAAACACCTGCCAACTTTTTTAATTAAAAAAGAAAGGTGCTCTTTTATTAAACCATACGACCAGCAGCAACAGAAAGAAAGAGGCAACTAGGGTTCCAAGTCTTGTACACTTTTCAACTTCAACATACGACCTCCTCCTCCTCCTTCTTCTTCTTTCACTGTTTCAGCGTCCAAATAGCAGCGAAATGTTGGCGAATTTTTTTTTCCGTTCGGTTCTTCTTTCTCAGTCTTCTCTTCATTGAAATGCTGCCCAGTTCTTCTTTCACTGTTTTTATGCTGCCCGGTTTCTAACAGAATGGTATACTGCCCTTCCTCTTAACAGAATTTATTTTAATATTTTTTTTAAATTCCGTTTCACTTAAAAAAAGCAAGCGCTTCACTTCTCGCTTCTCGCTTTAAGCGAAATGGTGGTTGTCGCCTTTCCTCGCTTCACGCTCTTCACAACACTGGGCTAACCTGTACAACTTCTTATCCCCTAAACACCAGAAAAGAGTAATTTTTTCAAATCGTGTGCTGTAAGGGATGCTACGTTGACCCTTTATGTACCTAAGGAGGAGGAAGAGAATCACTTTACCATTTCTCAAGAAAGGAGGAAGAGAATCATGGTCAGTTGGTGTTATTGGTGCAAAGAAAGTTGCTACAATACGAATGACATTTTTTTTTGCACTGCAAACTTACTTCATAGTTGAGGAATTTTGCATATTCATTGTTCAATGTGGCATGGGTTTTACCAAGCACAGTTTAGGAGACATTACCATGTTGGAGACAATGCAAATTGAGGGAAGAGTGGAGTGCTACCTGGAGGAAGATGCTGTCCTGTTATTTTTGTACAGTGTTGAATGACAGGACAGAAGCTTGTTCCATGATAATGAAAGGGATATGAACGGTTTGAAAAGGTTTCTTATTTCACGTATTCATTTGATGTAAATAGAAGATCCCTACTTGTATAGGTTATTAGGGTAACTTATTAGCTAACTGAGGTTGAACCACTCATTTTTTATACATATTTTCTGACACCATCTTGTCTGGTATTAATGAAATTCCTTTGATTTATCTAAGATATTGCACAGGGGAAAAGATACTAATTCTTCTATCTCATAGTCTGATCATTCTGTTTCTGCCCATATAAGCACTTCCATGTCAGGGCTTTTGAGCTTTTTAATTTCTCGTCACATATCCATTCTAAAGCAAAGCTTGTGTTATGAGCTTGTGTTTACAAATTTTCCTAGGTAGCAATGCTGATGTTACATATTTAATGCTTTCCAAGTACGTTTTCTCAAAAAAATGCTTTCCAGGTACTTTGGAAGTAGGAGATTTCCAGAGCTCTTTAGGTTCTGCAGCTTTGGTAGTTAGGTTGATGTACAGCTGCTGCTGTTCATTTGAACTGCAACTCATCATGATTATATTTGCTTGAAGTAGATATGCTTGCTTTCACTACTGTTCCACCTAATGGACTAGTGAATGTGCTTGTTGATCCTTGTTCTTTTCATTTTTTCATAGTTATTTGACGGAAAGGAAGATTCTAGACGGGATTTCTTTTACTGTGCCAGCTGGAAAAAGTGTAGCTATTGTAGGAACGAGTGGTAGTGGTATGGTTTCAGTCACTGTTCCTTATTCTGTTTCAACTTTTCAGTTTTATTTATTTATTTTGGACTTGATTTTTCTGTAATCTAGTGACTGTCCATATTCTAGCAATCTAAATATGGGCCTACCCCAAATCCCGACCAATACAAGGTCTCTTAGCTGACTGAAATATACAACCTTTTTAAGAGGTCACTATGGATTTTCAAGTGTGGGATCTCCTAGATTATTTTAAGTTTGTGTAGAACCTTTGATTATGTACAATCTCATTGTTTATGCTTTTTTACTAGCGCTGATCCGCATATTACTTTCTATTACAGGCAAATCAACCATTCTTAGATTGCTTTTCAGATTCTTCGACACCCATTCTGGAAATGTAAGAGTAATCATTGTGGGATATTACTTATCTACATATGCTCAGTTAAAACTTACTAGCGGCCAAATCATATTGCTTGGGCCTGCTTTTCATCACAATGTTTGAGAGCTTTATGGTGTGTCTTATCATATTAAACTTGGATTGTTTGCCTTAGCAGTTTATGTGGTCTGTCGCTGTGCACTTCTTTACTGTAGAACAATAAATTTGGATCAATTTCCTGGCTAATGTTTTCCTGAAAATGATTAGTTTTTCAATTATTTCATGATCGCTTTTTAATCATTAATAACAGACAAAAAGGCCTTAAATGGCATGCATGATGATGAAACTGGTATTTCGCATTTGCTTAAAGAGAAGACTGACTGACAAAAACTACAAACCGTATGTTGTTGACAAATCATATGCTGAATTCTCTTTGCAATGTTTGTCAAACTGCTGAATAGGGAGTTTTATTGCGATGGAAATACGAAAGGCATATAATTTAAAGAATATGTTTGTAAGAAGGAATCTGGACAATGTTTACATCTATCTTTGTCCATGTGGTTGATGAACCCTACTTGTTAATGTTGCGATCTCATTAACTGTTCATTAGGCGCTTTGCAAATTCATGTGCTGTGGAAGCCGAATTTCCAAGTTTATGCACCCTTGTAAGTTAACATTAGCAGGGGACTGGATTTTGTCGTATTCCACATAGAATTATGTTGATCCTGTTTTGCTGCATGTTTACGTGATTGAAATATTAGAACACATAAGATAGAAGTGAAGAGGTAAATGTAGATAATTGCACGTGGAACAGTGAATTTACGTCTCAGGCAAAAATTTTCTTTTTCTTGTTAGATCTTTCAGCTTTTTGGTGGCATTTTGCTCTTGGCAGGTAAAAATAGATGGTCAAGATATTCGGAAGGTTACACTTGAGAGTCTTCGGAAATCTATTGGCGTTGTTCCCCAGGATACTGTAAGTTGTCATAAATTATGTAGCTTAATATTCATCGTGGTCCCTGTAAAATGCGTGCGTTGAAAACAACGATTTCTTTGTTTTTCCAGGTCCTATTCAATGACACTATATTTCACAATATCCACTATGGACGGCTCTCTGCCTCTGAGGAGGAGGTCTGTTGAGAATTTTATATTTTCTTCTATTTCAACCTTCAGTTGCTATATTATCTGAGTCTCCCCTGTTATCAAATGAAATGTTTCAATAAGGTGTACAATGCTGCTCGGCAAGCTGCAATCCATGACACTATTATGAAATTCCCCCAGAAGTATGCTACAGTGGTGGGAGAACGTGGACTTAAGGTGAGNTTACCAAAGTGAGTGAAAGGCAAGTTCGATCAAATGGTTGAGAGACCAACAATGTTGTATGGGAGTGAATTTGTGGTTAACATGCTGATGTTAAGATAGATGTGGGGTTGTACAAAATCAGACAAAGATAAGGTCACTTGAGATGATTTGTCATATTCTTTTTCTTTTTAGTAAGTCGGTTTGTCATATTCTACTTCGATCTCCAGATGTACCAGTCCATTGGTGTAAACCATGGTGGATTGAGGGCGTAAAAAAAATGAGGTAGACATCAAACCACGTGGAAGGAGTTACTTCAAAGGACCTACAATCTCTTGGATTCCAAACAAGCTCAGCGAAAATAGCGGACAATAGAAGAAAAAGATTCGTATAGGTGATGCCAATTAGTGGGAATTAGGACATAGTCATGTGGGTCAGAAATTTGTATGCAGTAGAAGATGTAGAAAACTTCTAGTGTCAGTGAACCAACTTTTTGAATATTGGATTGAGAAGAGTCTGATTGGAGCGACATGAATTCTGAGAGTCCATCTAGCTGACCCAACTAGCTTGGGCTTGAGGTATTATTGTTGATTTAGGGAGTGCAGCACAATAAATGAGATATCATTTTGGGATTACATAGCACTCCCTATCCAAATATTTATTCTTTTATACAGGACTTGCGTTTCAATTCTTTTCTACTTTGAGAAAGTTATATATGCCGCTGACTAAAGGCAGGTCTTCCCTTTTCTGTCTTTCTCCTGCAGTTAAGTGGTGGCGAGAAGCAAAGGGTTGCACTAGCGCGTGCATTCCTTAAAGCACCTGCTATATTGTAAGTTCACCTGTCACCCTTCTAGTATAAAGAAGTTGTGTTGTCTCAGAGATTGCTACCAACCTTCATTTTCTGTATGTTCTCATAAATTAGTCCTTGCTTTCCAAGTAAAAGAACCTTGAGGTTATAGAATCTTTAAGGAATTATAACATTTGTTTAGCAAGGTCAATTTTAGTTATGAGGATTGGGTATTTGAGACAAATAAGAACTTTTTGGAAAGTGTCATACTCTGCTGTTTCACTGTCAGAAACAGTTTCTGGAACATTTGGAGTCAGTTTTTTCCTGGAAAGGCAAATTAAATTAGCAAATATATTGATTTTATTACTTTTGGTTTGGATATTTAGGTTACAATTTGGTGGAAGCTACAAAGATTTGTGCTCACTTTGTTCATCTCTTTTCTTGGTGTCTAGACAGCTTCATTTGTTTTTCGCAAAATAAAAAATAAGAAAATACAGCTTCATTTCTTTTCGGTTTCCTTTGCTTAACCCAGAATGTCGCTTTTACCTTCATAATACACATTTAACAGACTTGTATCCAGCATTTTACCTGCTCTTAATACTGGCTTACTGAAGGCATGTTAGGAGAGAATTTTTGCTTGGACAGCTGAGACAGTTTATCAAAGACATTCTCTTTCCAGAATGTAACAATGTTTAGGCCATTGTTTCAAGCATGTCTTACATGATGAAAAATTCAGATGTCTCTTTTTGGTTGGTTCATCTTCGTTGCCGTGCATTTTTCTTCATTCATTAAAGTGCACTTTTTTCTTCATCCACGTATAAATATTGTGTTACTGACAGGCGAGAGCTTATATTTGCTTCATGTGTCATGAAACATGCTTCTTTTATTTTTAGTTGCTCGGTAAAACTCCGTTATCAGAATCGTGAGTTGATAGCATTCTAATGTTGACTTTAGGCCTTATATCAACCTGGGAATACTAGGCTGATTGTCGTGTTAACTGGAGGTTAATATTTTCAAACCAGGCAGCAAGGCTTTGACTGACCATCTATTAACTGAGAGAGGATTGTTATTAATTTAATTTCTTTATCGTTTGTTCTTCCTCTAGAGAATTGTTTCTCACCCTTTTTTTCTCTCTTAGGCTTTGTGATGAAGCCACGAGTGCACTTGACAGCACGACAGAATCAGAAATATTAAGTGCTTTGAAGTCTCTAGCAGATAATCGGACTGCAGTTTTTATTGCCCATAGGCTCACTACAGCTATGCAATGTGATGAGGTTTGTTTCTAGCAAATATATTTCATGAATGCTCGTTCTCCAATATATATTATTATTCAGTATTCTATGCATCAGATCAGATAGAAATTAACCTACTTATTTCTTTGGCTGACCCAAAACTATATCCACTCTCGTAATAGTGACTTTTTCTCTGCACTAGTACTTCATAATATTCTACATTTAAAGTAACTGAGGACCCTCTCTTATTGTGTACACTAACCTTAATAGTAGTCCACAGCTCAAATTGAAACCAACTTTAGGATGTGGGGAATATTGGCTAAATTTGATTTCTTTAAATAAATAAGACGACCACTGATATAAAATGAACAATTCGGAATAGGAGCGCATTACCTTGGTAATTTGGGTGGTGTGTAGTATGTTTCGCAGAATTTCACCAGAATTGTGTTGTTACAAATTGTTCTCTTCTAACTTATTTCATTATAACCGTGGTTACAAAATTTCCTTTTTCTTCTTGGACCTTGCAAAACCAGAGCGATATTTAGTGTGTAGTTGTTGAGAACATTAGTCCTTTTTGTTTAAGGTTATTAGAATTAATAGACAACGATAGGTTATAAGCTGTTTAACTATAGCACAAACGCAAATGTATTTCTTTGTTAGCTTTTTGGTGCAACATGGCCTTTGTAAACGATGTAGAATCCATGTTAGATATGATCGAGGCATTGCACACTTTGTAATTTTAACACAGGCTTAGTGCTGTTATACCATTTATAAAATATCATTACTTATAAAAAAAAGAAAAAAACTATATCACAAACGCAAAGTGTTGAATATAACATGATGTGGTCCTTTGAGTCGGCATTTTCCACAACTGTGGTTCAAAATGTTGTATCTTTAGATTGTAAAGTTTAACTTACCCTTTTTACTAGTTCATTATAAATTGAATGTGTGGTCATGATTATCAGATCGTAGTCTTGGAGAGTGGGAAAGTGGTGGAACAAGGGTCGCATGAATTTCTTCTATCTAGGCCAGGGAGGTATGCACAACTTTGGTCACAGCAGAACACTGTTGATGGACTCGATGCAGCGACATGAATATTCCCCTCCTGTTGTTTCAAGAAAGGAAAGACGTTACCGACTTCACCACCGAATTCGGCCCAATCATCTCACTTCAACTCCAATAAAGGATATCAATTTCCGATCCGCTTTTACCCTTGTTTACCATATTTAATCCTTGATCTAGTGGGACAGGATTTGTAGGACAAAGAAGCCAGGCCCCATGTTAGTTCATGTGAATGAAAACGACAAGCTTCGTGGTTCTCCCTACTTCCTGTTTTATACGCTTCTTGCTTGGATAGAGCAGGTCAAAGTAATCTTCTCAATGATTATATTTTAGACTACCGTCATCTAGTTTTGTTAGTGGTAGCTACGATTAATCGGAAGCAGCTATGTATTATATGTACTGTTAAAGTGCAGTGTTCATTTTTTATTTTTCTGGAGAGCCAAGGAGTATCAACTCTAGGATTCATAGCTTGCTGTTAGGATTCATTCTTTGGACTTTGTAGTCGATGCTATACATTGTGTACAACCCACAAACACACATTACATTGTGTGAACATCTTATATGCACTTGCCCTGATATGGGGTAACTCCGTTAGTGAAGGAAGGCATCTCACATTGCCTTAATTCGATATGTTTCATTAACTAAATTAAACATTGTACTAAACGTCTTGTTGTCTGCAGCTGAAAATGAATGTTGGGATTTAGAGAAAAAGCAGATCTAATTTCTTTATGTGAACTTAATCACCACACTCTATCCCTTCCAAAAAGAGAATGGCATTCAAAGCATAAATCTACCCAAGATGCTGGCTAGGGGTGGCAAAACTAGTCCAACCTCATTTGACTCACCCAACTTGCATAGTATTTAACAGGTTGGATGTGAAAGATTGTAAAAATTGCACAGGACGCCTTATTTGGTCGCCCCCATTTAACTTGTACCCATTTTTTTTAAAAAGTTTTAACTTGTACCCACTTTTTAAACAACTTCAGCCCCCTTTCTCCTCCTCCTTTTCCTCCTTCGTTATCTTCTTTCTTTTGCTGCTGTTGGTGCTGCTATGAAACTTCAGTTCATGAGATGATTGCCATAAGTATGTTTATCAGATTATTTAAAAACAAATTATAAATAATTACATAAGTTAGTAAACAATAATTTGTGAATATTTTCACGTAATTCTGTTCTTTTCACGTTTATTGTTTCCAAAATTTATGATTTAGATACTGTTGGCAATCTGATATTTTATAGTAGTAATACACTATGAAAGAATAAGGTGATTATTTATCTAGTATGTTAGAAAGCTTTTTCAAAAACTTCGCTTATATAGTGCTGAAATTTTTACAAATGAACTAAATAACTTCAGCATCTTCTGTCGAAGTTTTTGAAAAAGCTTTATGACAAAACTAATAAATCCAGGACAAAAAAAACTTCAGCTTATATAGTGCTGAAGTTTTTACAAACGAACTAAATAACTTCAGCATCTTCTGTTGAAGTTTTTGAAAAAGCTTATCCAGGACAAAAAACTTCAGCTTATTTAGTGCTGAAATTTTTACAAATGAACTAAATAACTTCAGCATCTTCTGCTGAAGTTTTTAAAAAAGCTTTATGACAAAATTAATAAATCCAGGACAAAAAACTTCAGCTATTTTAGTGCTGAAGTTTTTACAAATGAACTAAATAACTTCAGCATCTTATCCAGAACAAAAAAACTTCAGCGTATTGCCTTTGCTACTTAAGGCCCGTCTACTAGAATGCTGAAGTTTTGCGTGATTGCCTTTGCTACTTCAGCCCCGTATGCTTAAGTTACAAGAAAAAGCGGGTACGTTTGCAATTTTTTTGCAAAGCGGGCACAAGTTAAAACGTGACCCAAAAAGTGGGTATATATGCAAATCGCCCTGAAAGATTTTTTTGATGGACTGTTTTGGGCTGAACACGTTTTAACCCATAGAATAAAATAAGGGAGAAGGACAAAAGTATCATGTTGGGAGGAATTTATGACTATCTTTGCCTATCACGATCTAAAATCCCACCTCAGACCATGACGATGCCTAGCTGTACTTGCTAAGCAAGCCAACTCACAATCAACAACATATAGTCTAGATTCCTTTAATTAATAGAGTCATATCATAAATAAAGACAGGAATGATCTCGAAACAGTACAATATTTGACACAAACATAACATGGTTTGAACATGATTAACACAGTACAACTCCCAAGAACTAGGTGTCACAAGTACACACGCAACTACTAAATAATTATAAGTCTGAATACATAATCGAAATTGTTTGAGAGAATGAAAATAGACAGGAGATAAATAAGGAAGGCACTGCGATATGAATTCATAAGGTGCAGCTCGCCCTAAGTCTTTGACCAATCGCCTAGATTCAACAAGAGGGTCTGCTAGAAGCCACCTAAAATTTTGTACAAAAAAATTGCAGAAACATAGCATGAGTACACCATAGCCAGTATGTATCAAGTCTAACCTCGAAGAAGTAGTGGCGAAGCTATAAGCATCAAGATACTAACAACTCAGATATAACTAACAGAGCCTGGAACTGAAACAGTAAATATCCTCATGAACAACATGTATCAAAGATGTCAAACAGTCGAAAGATATAAAACACGCTTTTCCAAATCAAGAGATAGTCATAACGCTGCTCAAATATGATATTTAAAGATGTCATTCTTCAATTAATGGAGTCGAGGCTCCCAACTAGCATATANATGTATGCTCAGGACCCTACCTCTTACCTTAACTGGTACAAGATCCATATACCCTGATACAAAGTCTAACAATACACAATCCTTGTATCGACCATGCTCACAGGGCCTAAAGTAACAGGGGTAATCACCCGACTCCATAGGGATGGTACTAAGTTCAAGCGCAAAAAGGAGCTTGATAACTCACTTATAATCAAATATTCGCTCATCATATCCTGTGTTATCACTATATTTCAATTGCATGACTTTACCTTTTGTGCCACGATCTCATTCCAAATCAAGTATCCAAATATATAATATGCGCATATGCCCAAAAATTAATAGAAAAATGATGCACAAAGACATAATAACAATCATGCAGATATCTGCTCATGGAATTTCTGTATGACTCTGGATAATCCAAGCAATTCAACATATCAAAAATAAGCTTCTATGTCTTCATAAATAATCAAAAACCTAGGTTTGATCTCTAGGATGAATATGAGAGCGAGTATAGTCATATAAGCCAAATAAATCATGAATCAAGTTACGAACATAATGAAATCCTCGGACATGATAAAACTTGGTACGTACATACACGCTCGCCACCTCGCATATACACCATCCCCAATACATTAAAGACATACCAATCAAGTCAAATCCTAGGGGTTTCCCTCTTAACAAGGTTAACCAAGAAACTTACCTCTTTCCAGGCTAGCTTCAACCATAAATCGCGTCAGAACCTTGCTCTAGCCCTCCAATCACGCACATTCAAGCTAAACATCACCCAAGGAAGTCAAATAATGCTATAGGAAGTGATCCCAAACCATAAAGCCTCGATCTTTGAAGAATTTTTAAAAAGTCAACAGAAGTCAACTCGGGCTCGTGTGCCCGAAATCTAAAACCGATACCAAAATTCGATGAATCATAACCTGTCGAATCCAAATATATAATTAATTTTCAAATCCGGATCCAAATCGATGGTTAAATCTCAAAAATACACTCTCTTAAAGTGTAGACAAAAAACCCCAAATTTTCTTTTAAAATTCCATATTTTAGGTGTACAAATCCATGTAGATTCTTAAAATATAATCACAAATAAGTAGAAATCTCTTACCCTCTTGCCTTCTATGAAAATCTTCATGAAAAATCGACCTCTCCAAGTCTAGGGCTCAAAATATGAAAGAATGGGTAACAATCCCGAAATATGACCCTTATGTATTCGGCTCAGAAGTACCCTTCGCGAACGAGGAAAAAGCCTCATGTTCGTGAACTACAAATGTTGATGCCACAGAAAATAGTCTATGTGATCGCGTCTGAGCCTAGCGATCACGAAAGCAATCAAGCCAACACATCGCGAACATGAGCTCCATCTAAAGAACGCGAAAGCCAATGAGCCACCCAACCTGCTCAGACTCTATGCGAACGCGACCTCTGGGACGCGAACGCGATGCCAACTTTACCATAACTACGCAAATGCGAAAACAACCATGCGACGTGAATAAACACAACTCCAGCTCCCAAATATGCATCAGGAATGCGACCCCTGAACCGCGAACGTGAAGCAACAATACCAACTCGCCAAGATCCTCCTCCACGATCGTGATACACCACAATACACCAACAACTCAGCTACTCCAAAACACATAGAAATGGTCCTAAACCACCCTAGATCACACCCGCACCCCTCGGGACCCGTCCAATCATACCAACAAGTCTAAATACAATATCCAAATTATTCAAAGGTTTAAAACACCGCAAATAACATCAAAACCACGAATCAAAGATTAAAATTATTCTCTTAACTTTCAAATATTCCAACTTTGCCGAACTCATCCGAAAGACACTTAGAAATTCTCGATCATAAATTTATATACAAGTTCCAATACACCAAATAAACCTTGCCAAAGTCCCAGAACACCGACCGACCCCGATAACTTAAAAGTCAATTTCCGGTTATACTTATGAACTCTCCAATTCTTCAAATTGATAGCTTTCAGTAAATAAAGCCAAAACCTTCTAGGAACATCCAAATTGAATCTGAACATAACCCCAAGTCCAAAATTGCTATTCGAACCTGTTGAAACCATCAAATCCCGATTCCGAGATCTTTTACTCAAAAATCACATTTTGGTCAACTCTTCCAACTTAAAGCTTCCAAATTGAGAATCACTCTTCCAAATTATTTCCGAACCTCTCAAACATCGAAAAAACCATATATGTAAGTCATAATACATCATATGAACGTACTCAAGTCTCAAACCACCGAATGAAATACTAAATCTCAAAACGACCAATTGCGTCGCGACATTCTCCCCCACTTAGACATACCTTCGTTCTTGAACGTGCCAATAACCATTCTAAATCCGTCAAATAACTACACAAGCTCATCATTCACACACCCATGAGTGATCCCATGTCACTTCAATCCATATAAGTCTATTAATACAATTCTACTGAAGATTCTCCCTTCAACCTTAGCTTAAGATACTTAGAACCAAGTTCCAACATCCGGAACTACCTCTGGGATCTGATTCTTGTATACATACACTGTATCAATCTCAACAAGATGTGTCAAACTATAATTATACTCCCAAGATGTAATCACATAATGTACCCCATCGCTCATTTTTTCACGGCAATATCTTCCGATGATAATAGTTTCTCATTATCAAACTGGTGTAGTAATATACCTCATATCAAATAGAACCTTGTTCCAGACCTTTGAAACACTGTTAATGATGGAAGAATCCTGTAGAAACTCATAACTACCCATCAGATCAATAAGCCATGGAGTTATCTTGCTAGACAAGAACCATTGCCAAATTCTGAGTTGACTAATGACATTATTCTTCCAAACACACCTTATAAAAATACAATTGTATTAATTTCAGGTCCTATAACCTCTTCTCAACCAGTACAAACTACTCA